AGAACATTCTAGATTGTTCCATCAGACCCGACTTGGGGAGAGAATGTGTGGGAGAACAGTCTTTGCCCGGCTTTCCTGTGCAAAATAATAATATAAAAAAAGCTCCTGGTTTTAAAGCAAAGCAAATGCATGAAACATTCATCTTTCAGCTCAGACTGAGCTTGTTGATATCTGCCCGGAGCAAAATTTCGTGGCTGAATTACAGCCCCAGAAAATAATAGTCTAAGTTTGAAGTTGTACCAACCTTCACATTCCAGCCCTGTCTAAAGGAACTCTTTATGTCTACCATGAAGTGGCATTTGGGATGATAAAGTTTTTGTCAGAGGAGCAAAATAGAGGCCAGGTAACAACATCTGTGTGGTTTTGTTTTAGTAGCATTCCATCTGAGTGAGATCTAGAAGTTGTCTCTGACAGAGAATACAGTAGAAATGTTTGGGGCAGATGTTAGCTCTGCAGCGAGGTGTACTGAGGATCCTCCCCCTATGGTGAGTTCCCCTGTCCACACAGTTGTTGCCCAAATAGCAGGGACCCTGCCCTGAGAGAGTCACAGTCCCCTGGGGAGATTGCCATGGGGACACTCTCCTCCAACAGACCAACTATTATAGAAGGGACCGTGGTCTGACACCCAGAGCAGAGCCAGGGTCCTGTGAATATTTTGTTGGCTTAAATATGCATGTTTCATGTGTGAAAAACAGCAGTTCCAAAAAGAAAACTGTGAAATGAAAAGTGAAACTGTGAATTAAATGTTTATGAAACTTTATGTTCTGGGTGGCGCCTGTGGCTCAGTGGGTAGAGTGCCAGCTCCATATACTGAGGGTGGTGGGTTCAAATTTGGCCCCTGCAGAACTGCAACAAAAAAATAGCTGGGCGTTGTGGCAGGCGCCTGTAGTCCCAGCTACTTGGGAGGCTGAGATAAGACAATCACCTAAGCCCAAGAGTTGGAGGTTGCTGTGAGCTGTGCGATGCCACGACACTGTACTGAGGGCAGTAAAGTGAGACTCTGTCTCTACAACCCCCCCAAAACAAAAAAAGAAACCCTTTATGTTCTATCAACTAGCGTACTGTGATTGAACACACACACCCAAATGCACACGTATATATTATATTTGCACACAGAGATATACACATTTATTTACATATAATAATGAAGCTTAAATCACAAGAAAAGAGTTAATAGTTTATACTAAACATATTAGGAATTATTTTTATAATCCTTAACATTTTCATAAATGAAATAATTACAGCATCCTGTGATGTCTATAGGGACTGATTCCAAGACCTTCCTATGGACACATGGAAGGGATACTCAAGTCTCTTACATAAAAGTGGCACAGAGTTTGCATATGATCCGCGCACTTCCTCAGGCATCCTTTAGATCATTTCTAGATTACTTATAATACCTAATACAACAGAAACACTGTGTACATAGTTGCTATACCATGTTGCTCAGGGAATAGTGATGGGGAAAAGTGTGTACATTTTCAGTACAGATGCATCCACCCATTTTCTTTTCAAAAATATTTTCAGTTTACACTTGGAGAAACGCAGGGATGTGGGCCCATAAATTCAGAAAGCTGAATGTATAGCTACTGTGGGATGTAGATAGATCTTATTTTTAAAAAAGTATGTAGGAGGTCTCTGAAAATACGAGTGCACAGAGCCTCTCAAGTTTTACAAGTGGCCCCTGGCGTGGGGCCCCTGAACGATAATATCTCTCCCAGGGGAAGATTGCCAAAGAAGGCAAAGCTGGAATTGGACACTGGGTGTGAAGCAAGCCTGGTGACATGCCACACATTTCACAACGCAGGCGGGTTGCAGCCGTGTAGTCCGGTCTCTCCACCTACCAGGCTGTGGGTCAGGACCTTTCACCCACCGGAGCACAGCTCCGTGCTGCCTGCCAGGGACAACTCACATCTCCTCCTGGATTCATAAGACACAGAACTGGGCGGGTGCCATTGTTTTCCAATTTCTTTCTGAGTCTCTTTGGCGAAGGAACTGATTCTCTCGGACTCATTTGAGGGAAGAAAGAGCAGCAAGCAGCTGGACCAGCGAGTGGGAAGGCGGGTGGCAGGTGGCAGGGCGCGTAGAGTGTGTGCTCTGGAGGGAGTGGCCAGCCGAGCTCCTGGCCACACTGGCCGATGTCACCCGCTGCAGCTGCGTGAGGGCAGCTTTCTCTTTAGTCTCTCTTGTGCTGTTCTCTGGCTAAGGTGAGAAACAGAATTGGAATTTGAGACAGTGTGTTGTGGTCCCACATTTTGTTTTTCATAAGAGAGAAAACTGCCCTGTGAAGTTTGGGCAGGATTTCAGAAGATCCGCTTCTCATCTGAAGGTTTCCTGGAGGAATGGGTTTACCCGTGGGAATGGCGGTTCTGTGCCAGGCCGCAGAAGCCATGTATTCTTCCTCTGGGCTGATTGTCCCCCTCTAAATGTCAGCTGGGTCCTAATCAAACTGACACTCTACCGTGGGTGGGGCAGAAGGCCCCAAAGTGTCATCCCTTTGTATCCCGATGACGACTTTGGTTTAACGGTAATTATCAATGTTCTTATTTTCACACATGTTCTTATGTATTTATCTCTCTATTAAGTGCCCACTCTGCGTGAAGTCCTTGGCTCAGTGGTTACATTTCTGTCATTCAATTCCTACAGAGTTGCTGTTAATGGCCCATCTTAAAATTGAGGAGATGGCAGCTTAGAGACAGCAAGGGAACAGCCAAGGTCATAGAGTTGTGAGTGGTGGAGGGTTCCTAAGTCTCTACCCTTCCCACAGCCCAGTCTGCACTCTGGGCCCGGATGCGAAGATTTATGTTTTGAGAATGCGTCATGCCCCACTCCAGGTGCTGGGAATGAGGATAGGACACTCCCTGCAGGTCGGGTATTTGCAATCCAGAAATTCATACTGCGCAAGGGGTTAACACCAGACAACTGATTTTAACACCAGGTCGGATAAGTCTCCTAAACTGGACCATTTGCCAGAGCTTCAGGGGAGAAGAGAATGGTTTTGATAAAGAAGATTTTTATTTAAAAAAATTTTTTTTTTTTTTATTGTTGAAGATTCATTGAGGATACAGAGAACCAGGTTATACGGGTCATATTTGTCATGCAAAAGTCTGAAACTGGACTCGCACCTTTCTCCACTCACTAAAATTAATTCAAGATGGATAAAAGATCTAAGTCTAAGGCGTGAAACAATAAAAATCCTCGAAGAAACCGTGGGGAAAGCACTTGAAGTTATTGGACTGGGGAAACTTTATGAGGAAGACGTCAGTGGCAATTGGAACAACAACAACAACAACAAAAAACAAATGGGACTTCATGAAATTGAAAAGCTTCTGTACAGCTAAGGAGACAACAACCAAAGCAAATATACTACCATCAGAATGGGGAAAGATATTTGCATATTGTGAATCGGACAAAAGCTTGATAACTAGTATCAACCAGGAACTCCAGTTAATCACCAGAAAAAAGGGCTTAGTTTTGACTGAGGCACGTAGGAGCCTTGCATGGTGGGAGTGGTATTCTTAGTTGTAAGTTGAAGGATTAGGCCTAGCTAAGTTGGCAATGACTGGGAAGGCCCATCAGAGCAGTGCGCTGAAGAGGAGAGGGGCAGGAAGGAACACAGTGTGTCCCACAAGAGGGGAGATGCAGCCATTGCGGGCAGGTGTATGAACTTTTTGTAATGTCAAGGAAGAGAAAGGGAAATGCTTCAAGTACCTTGACCTCACCGGAGGTCTGTCCAAAGTGTTCCCATCCATAGGTGAAGGTGCAGCTAGTCCTTCAGGACTAACTCTGTCTGGTCAGGAGAATAATTTTAAGATTGTCCTTTATGGGAAATCAGGAGGGCCACCTTTGTCTGTGTATGAAGATCGGGCTTTGCTATGAGCCCACCCATAAGTAATTCACTCTGGGCTGCCGGGCTCAGCCCATCTTCAGTGAACGCTAGCATCTCTTACCGATCCTGATTTTAATTCTTTTGGATAAATATCCAGAAGTGAGATTAAGGGGCCATTTGCAGTTCTATTTTTAATTCTGGGGGACACCTCCACTCTGCCTTCTATACTGGCTGCACCATTTTACATCCCCACTAACAGTGTGCCAGGTTCTCATCTTTCCACATCACGAACACTTCTCTTTTGTTTTTGTGATGGCAGCCTTTGAGACACATTATAATATTTGAGTCTTGACACAACCCTTTGAAAGAAACTGGGTAGATCAACAAATATATATATATATATATTTTTTTTTTTTTGAGACAGAGCCTCAAGCTGTCCCCCTGGGTAGAGTGCCGTGGCATCACAGCTCACAGCAACCTCCAACTCCTGGGCTCAAGCGAGTCTCCTGCCTCCGCCTCCCAAGTAGCTGGGACTACAGGCGCCCGCCACAGCACTGGCCATTTTTTGGTTACAGCCATCATTGTTGTTTGGCGGGCCCGGCCTGGGGATTCGATCCCGCTACCTTAGGTGTATGTGGCTGGCGCCTTAGCCGCTTGAGCCACAGGCGCCGAGCCAACAAATATTTTTTAAGCACTCCCCAGATGCAGGCAGAGCTTGGGCTCTGGGCTCTCTGTAATGGGGAGCAAAGGCAGACAGGGTCCCTGTCCCGGGCAGCTTTCACGTTCCATGTGGGAGAGAGAACACAAGTGGCTCTCGAGGTGGACCTGAGCTCTGAGCAGGCTGGGAGGGCCACGGGCACGGGGCTAGAGACCGTGTGGGAGAGCGAGGGATGGGAAGAGCCTGCCGTGCTCAGAGAACAGTGCGTGCCAAGTCGGAGGGCGTGTGGCTGATGGGCCGAGGAGGGAAAGCAGCTGAGTGTTACTGCGGTGCCACTTACACTTGGAGAAACAACCCCAGACCAAGGAAGGTGTGGCTTCCAAGATCACAAGTAAGGAGTAGAGCAGCAGTACCCAGTGTGTGTAATTAACTCCAACAGGGTCACACTGTCCTCTCCCTCCATGCCAAGCCTGTCCAGGGAGAAGCAGAGCTGGCGGGGTGTGACTGGTTAGCTTTGGGTAGGGAAGGAGGCTCGTGGGAGGACTATTTCTCAGTATCAGCAAAGCACTGAAGTGGGTGGCAGGAGCTGACCAGGGCCCAGGAAGTCTCAAATCCCCACCGCAGCCTGCTGGAGCCCGCCCCACCTACCCCCACTCACAGGTAACACACCGTGGTGCCCTCTGAACTTCGTGGAGCTTGTATTTCTGTTTGTCATGTCTTATTTTACTTCTGCCGTTCTTTTCTAAGATGACTTCTCAGAACTTTCCATGAATTAGGAAGGAAGATTCTACATTCGATGAAAAACCCAGGCTGACAACGGTGTGTGCTGAAGAGGCAGGTGTGTGCACACACTCACGCCCCCGTCGATTATCACTGCCCGTCCTGTGACCTGGAGAGCTTCTCTCGTTTGCTGCTCCCCAGACCCCCTAAACTAGGAGCATTTAACAGCTTTAGCAGATCACTGCCAGGAAGGATCCGGGAAAGCTCTGGGCCCTTCCCCTCCTCTCCAGCCTCACACGCAGGCAGCCGGCTCCACCTGGTGTTTCAGGATCCCACCTGTCCAGCCTGCCCCTGCTCCCTCCTCCGTCCACACTGAGAGTCCTTCTGGACTCTCCTCTGCTCGCTGCTTAATTTCTTCTCTGATTGCCAGCTCCTCCGCAGGGCTTCCGCCAGCGTGGGACCAGCAGACAGAGCAGCGGTCTGGGGAGCAGAAATCCTGCCTGCCTGCCCCGCCTCTGCTGCTTATCAGCCCTGTGACCGTGGGTAAGTCACCTGTTCTTTCTCAGCATTTTGGGGGGGGGGTGAGGAGGAAGCTATCACCCCTCCCTTAACTTTTTTTGGTAGGGATTTAAATGAGTTTAAATATCCCATTGCCAGATGTGTGGATGAGAGTTGCTACGATTAATGAACGTCTCTGAGTCCCATGTCCACAGCCCATAAACTGAAGGTGTTAGACCAGCTGATCTCTGCTGCTTTTCAGGGCAGGGCCTGTGGTTCTTGGCTGATCTCCCTCCTCTGGGCTCTCCATCGACTCATTGTCCCCAGTTCTATCCTGCCTCTTCCAGACTCACAGCTTAGCTCTGGGCGTCGTGAGAACGGCCTCACTCCGTAGACTTGGTGGATGCCGAGGGCTCTGTCAGCAGCGAGACTGGAGAGACGGGTGGTGAGAAAAGATCTCAGGCTCTGAAACTGTGGACTCAAGCCCCCAGGGCTTTCTGAATCACCAAGCTGGAAGGTGACCCTTCTGGGGAGGGATCAGCGCAGAGGAGACCTTAACGCCAGCTGAGTGCACTGAAAACTGCCTTCTGCTCCCACATCCCCTCGCTGGCCGGCTGGACTATTTTCAGCTGGGGAGTCAGGTTTCATTAGCATCAGAGAGGAATCCTCTGGGTTTCCTTTATGACTGTGCAAAGAGATGAGCCTCTCCTGGGAGGGCAGGGCACCCCAGAGGACGGTGAATCAGCCTCAGTGCCGGAGAGACCAGGGCGCCTTCCTGTCCCAGCTCTGCCTCTTACCCAATGTTTGGGCTCTGGGGGGTGACTCAGGCTCTGTCGTCATCCTTTCCCTAACTCACACCTTTGAGGATAATATTAGATGATTCCTGGGGTTGCTTTGAAGGCTGCATTTTGCACCGACAGCTAAATGTGCTCACACGAACTGTGCAAGATGGAAAGATAGGTACAGGTTTTGCATAATTTGGTGTGATTTGGGCTGTATTCTAATGTGTCACTCAGCAAATGCGAGAAGGCAGGATGGTGATTACACGGATGCCCTAATTGCTTTGAATCCTGCTCCTATACCATCTATTAGCTGTCACCTTGGCGAGTTTCTTACCACCCTGTGTCTCATTATTTTCATCTGTGAAGTGGAGACAATAAACTCTCCACAGTGAAGATTAAATAAGCTCCTGTGTGCAGAGCAGCGCCTGCTGGAAGGAGATGCCTTGTGTGCGGCCCAGCTTGTGTCTGTTTTTGAGACAGGGTCTCACTATGTTGCCCTCGGTAAAGTGCCCTGGCCTCACAGCTCATAGCAACCTCAAACTCCTGGGCTCAAGTGGTCCTCTTGTCTCAGCCTCCCAAGTAGCTGGGACTATAGGCGCCCGCCACAACACCTGGCTATTTTTAGAGACAGGGTCTCCCTCTCGATCAGGCTGATGTCAAACTCCGGAGCTCAAGCAATCCGCCCACCTTGATCTCTCAGAGTGCTGGGATTATAGGTGTGAGCCACCACGCCTGGCCCCTTGATACCTAGTTTTTATGGGTTTCATGTAACAAGAAGATGAAGGCGGGTGGTTTCTGAGCTTGACTCATTGGTCCCGACAATGTGACAGTACAGGTCAGACTCAGGGAATCTCAGGCTTCCTCCTCACTGTTATGAAATCTCTGCTGCTGCGGCTACACACAAGCTTCCCAGAGCATAGCCCAGACCAGAAAAAAGAGGTTATGGCCAGGCCTTTGTCCTCTGTCAGCTGTTTCTTTTTATGCCCAGAAAATCCTAGACACCCCTCATTTCTCATTGGCTAGAACTAGGCCACTGGAAAATGTGATTGGGACTCTGTGACATAGGCTGGTCATGCCTCACCCACTTGGATTGGGCACGTTGCTTCCGAAATCAAATCTCACACTGCTGGCAAGGCAAGAGGGTGTTTCTGCTGGATGGGAAACTGATCGTACTGGATAGGACACAGGGCTCAGGGGTAGAGTGACTCATTCTGGCCACATGGCCTGGAGTCCTCAGGTTCCGGGCTGTGGCACCCTCTGCAGACTTCCCGTGGCTTTTGGAGTTGGGGTATATTGTTTTGGATTATTACAGGCCCCTGTTTCGTAAGGTAAATGTGATCATTTAGAAGGGAAACCAAAACCTGGTGCTGTAATAGTCAAGAGCAGAATCATTAGGTGGCTCCTTTACACAACAATCCCAGGGAGTCTCTGTCTTCATCTGTTCATCCATCTATATGTCCATCCACCTGCCATCCATTCATCCGCCTTCCCCTTCCTTCCTTTCCATCTTTCTTTTTTCATCTTTTCATCTATACATCCTTCCACACATCAACCCACTCATTCTTCTGTCCTTTGATCTGTCACCTCTCTCTCTTTCTAGATGGCTACCCGCCTTACTTATTTTGCCCATTTATCTGTCTAGGCCCTCACACACTGACATAGTCGTCCATTCATTCACACATCTGCCTTTCTACCCCTCCTCCATGCTTTCATTTCCTTTCCCTCCATCTCACCCTTCCTCCCTCCCTCCCTCCCTCCTCCCTTCCCATCCTCCCTCCCTTTCTTCCCTCTTTCCTTCCTTCCTCACCTATTCATTCACTCACTCTCACTTATGGACCACCTCATTGTGCTAGGTGTTGGGTAATCTAACACTGAAATAGCCTATTATTTGCCTTCAAGAAGTTCACATTTTGTTGGAAGATCAGGCAATTCTCATATAGTATTTCCAGTGTTAACTGGGGCTCTTAATCTGTACATCTAATGGTCTTAAGTGGCCTTCATGGCTCGGTGGGCCTGGGTAGCTACCATGTTTCCCTGAAAATAAGACCCTGTCTTATATTTATTTTTTCTCAAGATGACACACTAAGGCTTATTTTCAGGGGATGTCTTCCTCTCTGCACCGAAATGCATGGTGTGGCTATGCAGATACGCTGCATAGCCACGCCCATCACTAGGTCTTATTATTGGGGTAGGGCTTATATTTAACAAATGCATAGAAAACCTGCTAGGGCTTATTTTTTGGGCAGGTCTTATTTTTGGGGAAACACGATAGTGCAGCTCTGTGCTGGGACCCGAGGTGCTGTGCGGGGTGATGGTGCAGGCCCTGAGGCCGGCGGGACGCTCTTGCCCACGTGCTGCTGTCTGGCACTTGTCTCTGGAATGAGCAGAACCTCTTTCGGTTCTTCAGATGTTTAAAAACAGCAAGTACATTTGGCCAAGTGTTCTCCCTTGAATATTTAAAATCATGTTTTATTTAAGGGAAATGACTTTCATAAATTTCTGACCCATTTGAGCTTTATATCATTGTAATATTCTTTAAGAGCCAATTCGTGTCCAATAAGGCTTTTCACCTTGTTTAATGACTTTTTAAAATTCTCCTTTCTTGCAATCAAAACTACATAAGCCCATTCGAATGCCAAAGGGTTCAAGTTCAGTTCAGAGCACTCGAATCATGAATTCTGAGTTGCTGAAATGAGTTTTTCTCATTTATATTCAACTCCGTGTCCCCAGTTGGTAGCCCTGGATGGAGTTAGACGCTGTCTGAGGTTTGAAAAGACTGGACTTTCCACCAAACACTTAAAAACAATCTAGGTGAATCTTTTCTTATACATACGCAACTTGTCTTAAGGAGAGAAGTTGAGTTTATGCTTCTAATTTAGGTAACTAAGGAGAAAGGAAGGATAAGCAGCTAGTCTTTCTTTTGCTGCATTTCAATTTGATTTTATGTCTGTATCAGTTCTGGGCAGTGGATATTCTGTCCAGGTTACTGATGAGGAAACAGGTTCAAGAGGGTAAGTAAGTTGACTGAGATTGCTCAGTTAGGAAGCAGCAGAGAAGGTTTTCAGGACGTTTAATCCCAGCTTCATGCCTCCTGAGGTTCCTTCCTCTCTGTATCTTCCTTGCTCCTTAAACTCTCGTAAAACACAAACAGGATGTCAGGCGCCTGATCTGAGCACATCACCTCGTATCATCCTTGCTGTAAAGGAGGGGGTGGGGAATTGAAGCCTCTGAAAGGTAAATAACTCATCCTGATTCACAGAGCAGAGCCAGGCAAACTTGGGATTGAACCCTAGCTTGGCCATTATGTTAATTTCTGGAGGCTGCTGTAATAAATTACTAGAAGTTTGATGGCTTAAAACAACAGAAATTTATTATCTCACAGTTTGGAGGTCAGAAGTCTGAAACTACGGTGTCTGCAGGGTGGGGGATTTCAGAGAGAATTTCTCCCTGGCCTGTTTTTGCTTTTGGCAGCTGTAGATCCCCTTGGCTTGTGGCCACTTCTTCTCTGTTCCACCTCCGTGCCGTCTTCCCTCTGCCACTCACACTTGTCATCTGATTAGGGCCCCACTCAGACAGTCTAAGAGATGCCCTCAACCCCTCATCTCAAGATCCTTAACTGTCTCAGCTCTGCAAAGACATTTTTATCCAAATGAGGTCATAGTCACCGGTGCTAAAGATTAGGTCACAAGCACATGTTTCTGTCTGAGCCACTTAATGTTTGGTGACTATG